CATTGTTAACAGATCACGGTCAGGGAAATACGTGCCAGGGGATGATGCTGCTGCTATAATCAGAGCATGCCGGGTCTGTTCTGATGGAATCCATGCGTCTCGTCGTCGGTCAGCCTCACTGGGATGAACAGGACTGGAAGCTTTTGTGAATGTCTGATCACTTAGAACAGACTCCACAGTGTCACCTATTGGTATGATCAAATCACATTATAAGCATGGTATAAGAATGTGTAATAATGGGCAATAACAACAACCGAAACTCTGCTAATGAGGTTGAGTATGAAAATGTAAAATTTGTAATACTAACAGAATAGTATCATCAGAATATGTTTTTAAGTACAGTAAACCTTAAATTTAATGGATTTCAGATTTAATGGACTCATCTGGTATTGCCTAATTTTTTCTGGACATGAGGCATTAGCAAATATTTTTGGTTTTAATGGACAAAGTACTTTGATTTTTTTGCACTTAATTATCTTTTTACACTCAAGTCTTTTAATGAACCTGTGTCATTCCAGGTGTCCAGTTTATATTACTAATCTGTTTAATGGTGTTCTCAATGAAAATTATGGCCTAAGGATGCATTACTGGTATCATAAAAATAACTGTGCAATTTAACAGACGATCAGCATTATCAGACACCCCTTCCCCCCACTGGGCCATTCAGTTGAGAGTTTACTGTATTATTTTGCTAATTTTGATACAGTGATATATTACTCTGAAATGCTGTAATCCCTATAAGACTACGAGGTGTCACAATCCAGAAGACAAGAATCAATGTCTCATCACCATGACAATCTCAAATAATAAATTATACTTTCCTTTCTCATTCAATTCAATTTTCATATAATTAAACTTCAAACATGTTTGAGATTACTAGTTATTTAATGGTTCTTTCTTAATTATTAATTAAATACAAGGATGGTATGGTGCATAATGGTGAAGGAATGGTAGAGGAAGCAATCATGGTCTAGTTCAAAGTTCTGTCTTAGCATATATACAGACTGAGGAAAAGTTCAGAACGCCTGTTCAGAATTGTTGCTTCCTTGGCTGCATGATAGCAGGGCACATTCCTATTGGCCAACATGCAAACTTCCAATAGAAAAATGTGGCACATTTCTCTTTTGTAATTGATGATTTCTTTCTATGAAACCTAGTGAATATTGTTCAGTGTAGCATGAATGATACTTTTAATATCTCACATACAGATCACAGTACACCCATTACAATGTGTATGTAAGGGAAGACAGCCAAGGAACTGTAACAGATTGGGTATGTAGGTCTAGACTAACCAAGACTGGAAAGGTGTAATCCATACCAGAATGCACACATGCATTCTTTGCAAATTCTGAATTCTGAATGCTACCAACTGAAATACAAAGGAGAGAATTGAAGTGTTATGAATTACTTTCCACAGTTTTTGCACAAATGCATAAACATAAGTTTTAAACATTGTTTGTTTTCTTCTCTACTGATTAAATTGTTTATCACAAACTGGTTGTTGAGAACAGCATACATTTCAAGGACACTGATTTTGTATTACAAACTAACCAATAAATGCAATGTACAGCTTATGATATATGATGTTGAAATATCTTTTGACCTATTAGTATTTAAAGAACAATTCAATCAGTTATCTTACTTATACAACTTTTGGTTTCCAACTATACAAATCATATAATATTAATGCCTTCTTTAAGTGACATGAATCAATACTAATACATCAAAAGATATGGTAGCTCTGTGGTAGCATATTGGATTCAATGCATGGGGTCATGGGATCCAGTCCTGGTCAAATCATTTTTTTTTATGTTGATGCCATGTTACTTTGTATCATACAATGAATTATTATACCAGAGTTTTGTATTTTCCAAAAGTCTGTGCTGATGTTGATCCCACCTCACAAGTTTGCTTGCCTACCATATTAGTACTTTTGATGAAAAGGAGATTGAAAAGTATTTTTTATGGTAGACTTCAATGGTTTACCATCCATGCCACATTTAATCCATATCTACATGATCAGCCCTATATATGTCCATTTCATGCAGTTTGTGCAAATATTGCATAATAACTAGGACCTGACAGATGGGTTTTGGAATGTAAATTCTTCACTGTACCTGGAATGAACATGCAACCTACCAACCTTTCTATTCATTAAGTACTTGTCATGCTTTCCTCGGTGATAAGTGTTGTCATAATCATGTTGCTGACTAATGACTTAATTTTAGTTCCAATGCAATACTGCTTGCAAAACCTCCCATGCCACAATCCTTAGTCAAGAAATTTCTATACTGACTGAGATTTTATATGATTAATCTAAGGTTATCACAAGACTTATGTTAAAACAGACTGTGATCACAACTCAAGATCATTATCTTTCTCAAATGTCAGATTGTGGTTTTCTGGGTTCTAATACTATGCAGTCTTGTAGGTGATTACCAATGTTTCAGATCAATCTGATGCCTCAATCATCTGGGTAGGTGGCAGCAGTAGGTTATTCCAAAACACGGTATCATGAGCTACAAGACCACAATCCAAATTTGTACTACCATGAAAACCCCAAATCTTATTTTATGATACATAACCTCTCCAGTTGATGTAGTATTGCTACCAAATCTATGAATGTTTGTTGTCTGTTTAATAATGCTGTAACACAAAGTAGATAGCACTGAAGAGAGAATGCTTAATAAATGAATTGGAAAGGATATGGATGGAAATGGTCATGACCAAATTTAAAGCACTATCCTGGCATTTGCCTAGGGGGTGTCAAGAAAACCACAAAAAGCCTCAGTCAAGACAGCTGGTCTTCATGCCAAGTTCTGAATTCAGGACCCAAATATGAAGCAGGAATTCTAAC